GACCAGCCGCTTCTCCTCAGCCTCCTGTACGGCCGCCCTCGTCTCGTCGCTTTTGTTGTCACTTGCGCGTCGAACGGTCGTCTCCCGCGCGAAGGCAAGGGAAGCGTGCTTTGAGCATGCTTCGAAGAACTCCTTCTTCACGTACTCATTGACTAGAACGAGATCTGGCGCATACGGTGACTGTCCCCCAAAGCCGAAACGTGCGGCTGTGATGGCCCCTGCTGCGGCTTCAATGTCGGCGGTACGGTCGACGATGGCAATGGCACGGGCAGTGTTTGAGGAAATAAAGTGATTAACATGGCTTTCGCTGGGTGCAACGCCTGTTTGATCCACGAGGATTGCTGAGTCGAGAAGCGATTGATCCGTAATTTTCTTTGTAATGCAGAAAGCATTCTGATTCAGAGCTCGAGGGAGAACGCTGCGGAGAATCGAGTCAAGCTGCAGCAGAGTATCTTCGAGCTGCTCGCTCTTGGGTCAGCTTCGTTCAAAACCATGAGATGACCGTGGTTCGGAATCCTACAAACCTCAAGCGCAACCACAGAGCCTGCAGCTATAGCCGCAGCAAGAGGGCTCAGAATAGAGAACAGCCGAGTGTAAGTCGTTGGCCTAATGATAACCAGCCCAGCACCGGTTCGTCTAGTGGTGTTGTCCTTGCCATGAGCTACTAGATACTCGGTATCGAGCTCCTTTCCAAAGTCAAGAGACTCATAGAAATGGCGAACGGCCTCCATTGATAGAAAATGCTCAACCTCGACTTCCGTCTTTGAGGCGCCCGAGTCCTTTTCTTCGGCAGCGCACAGCGCTGCAGACTCCTTGCGTAATTCCTCATGAAGACTGATGAGGTTGTCTTGGCGGAACCGAATGCCCTCCGCGCGCCCATCAACAAGGGTCACGAGCAGTTTCTCGATGGCAGGTTCCATTGCGGCGGTCGGTTGGTCTCCAATGAGAAGGGCAAAGAGGTGTGAATAGGAGGGTAAGTGAGATGGACGCAATTCTGATCTGCCCTGGGTGAAGTTGAAGCTATTCTATCTAGAGACCCCGAGGGAGCTGTGACATATTCCGACAGTGACACCCTTCAATGACCCGATAGCTCGAACGGCTTGGCGGTACCTCAACCTGGACGTCCGGGGCTGAGAGGGGCGGAAAGTGGAGGACAGGGGTGCTGGTCGATCACAGTCAAGCTTACCAGGATAGGGCAGACGCAGTTCACTTCTCCCCGCATTTCCGACGCAGGACTCGTTCAAACGGGGAGCGGGTTCGCGGAGATGGACGGGTCGACGGTCGGCATATTGAAGCGGCCTGCTCCCCCCTTGTGGTTCATTTTCCAGACAGGCGCAATTGAGTCCAGAATTGAGATTGAAGTCGTTTGCAACACAAATCATCCTTTGCAAAACCCACTCCACAGACAAGAACGTACAGCCACGCGCATCAGTATGTCGGCCACCACAACAGACAACCCGATCACAACGACAGTCCGCCAGGACTACCTCCACGACTACAGCATCCGACTCACTGGAGGCGTCGAGGAAGCGTACGCGAGGCCGTCCAGAGATGCGCCTCTGCCAGCGGTTGAGAACCCTCCCGATTGGTATGACCAGCATCGCCAAGTGCCTCCGTACAGACCCATCAACCGAGAGCTCGATGTTGCAGACAGACCTTGGGGATCCAACAGGATTGAGAACGGCTTCGTTTTTGTGATGTTGAACGGATGTTGGATTCAAGGGGTAAGAATGCGCCCATGGCTAGGCAAACCATGCCGGCTGGTTGCTGACGTGCGTCTGACAGGTTACCAACTGGCTTTGGAGAAGCACGGGGGGGAAGGTAAACCAGACATATTGGAGGGCCAAGGTTGGCGGCGAAATCTGACTGCTAGCAGCGGTGGATTTGGAGACGGAGGGAGATATCATGGCATTGCGATTGCAATTGTACACTACCGGATCGGGAATTCCGCGACACCACACTAGGCACGAATAGCTTCATCTATTTTGACCGAAAGTGGTTGAGAATCGCCATAGGAGAGGGAGCGCATGTGTGCATGAGAGGCAATGTTAACGTTGGTTGGCGAAACCACCGTAAAACTCGCCAGCATATCGGAACCCACTATCGGCTCGGCAATAGAAATGCAGTATACTGAGTTTCCATTCGCAGCGTACCTGCGTAGGTGACTCGGCTCGCCTGAGTTAAGCTGATACAAGAAAAGAAAGAAAAGGAAAGGATGCATTGGCATTGACCCCTGCCCCTTCGCGTTGGAGCTCCGAGGTTCGCCGGAGCACGTCACATTTGCTTCACAAGAAGGGAGCTCAAACCTCGTCGTCTCCTAACCAACCAAAAACCAAAACCAGCCACAGCCGCAGCGGCAGCCCGTCAGCCCGTCATATACGAAACAGTTCGAGGACAGTACGGGTGCTGTGCCTCGCTAGGTAGGTACGCTCAGCTGCCTACCTACGCAGTACCCAAGGTAGGTACCTAACCTAGGTAACAGTAAGTTGAGGTCCGGTGCAGGGCAGTTGGTTGGGGTCAGCCCCTCCCCCACCCTTCCGCCGCCGACGGAACGCCATGAGGGGTCCATCTTCATCACCTCCGCTGTCCACTCCAACGTCAAAAGCTCTTGCCGTGAAGAACGTGACTGCGATTCCGAAATCTCCCAGTCTCTCGCAATAAAACCCAATCAGGACCCTTCTGAAACAAACACAGTCGATTCTTAGTGACAACATTACCACCGTCTTCGTAACCTCACCACCAATCTATTTAATCGCCATGTCTGTCAAGACTCCGCCCATCAAGGACCTCCTCGAGGTCACGGAGGACAAGGAGAATCGCCTTACTTTTATGAAGAACGTCTCCATTCCCCTGAAGGACTCACCACTTCCGATCAGAGCCAATGTCTACCTCCCGCTCACGTCGGAAAAGACCGGTCGCTATCCGGTGCTGGTAACCTACGGCCCCTATGGCAAGGACATTCCGTACGCCAAGTTCTACCCTAAGTCGTTCAGTGAAGTGAACCCCGAGCAGAAGTCAAAGTACTCAGCCTGGGAGACGCCGGACCCTGTCTACTGGACCAGCCAGGGCTATGCCATCATTAGAGCCGACGAGCGCGGCCTGGGCCAGAGCCCTGGTTTTCTAGATACCATGAGCCGCGGCACGAGCGAGTGTTTCTTCGATGTTGTCGAATGGGCCGCTGAGCAGCCTTGGTCTAATGGAAAAGTTGGCCTATTAGGTATATCCTACTATGCTGGTATGTGTCTCCTGTCTAGACGCCAATCATCGCCGGTTACTTATACATGTCACAGGCTCTCAGTGGCGAGTTGCGGCTCGCCGCCCCAAAGGTCTCGCAGCCATCATCCCGTGGGAGGGTATGTCTGACTACTACCGTGACCGTTGCCGGCACGGTGGCATTTACTCCAATAAGTTCATCGGCGTGTGGTGGAATCGACAGGTCCTTGTGAACCAGTATGGCCGCAAAGACAGGTCGAAACTTGACTTTCCCCCAGATGGGCCCGGAGCCAGGGGTCAGGAGGACACCATCGAGGGTGATCTGCCTGACGACGTCCTGGTCGCCAACCGTCAGGATCAAACCAAGGATAACGAAGCCAATCGTTTCCGCGACGACGACTATTACGCCAGCAAGGAGTATAAGCTGGAAGACATTGAAGTTCCCGTGTTGAGCGTTGCCAACTGGGGTGGCATTCTCCTTCATTTGAGAGGCAACGTCCAGGGATATCTCGGAGCCGGCTCCAAGCTGAAGTACCTCCGCTTCATCACTGGGCGGCATGATTTACCCTTCTACTACCCCGAGGAGGTTGAACTCCAGAAAAGCTTCCTCGACGCTTTTCTGAAGGGTGATGATCGCGTGGGCTGGAGTGTTCCTGGTAAGGTGTCTCCTGTAACGCTCACACTGCGCAAGGGCAACGTCGGTTTCAACGATGCGCAGAGGGAGAAGGCTTACGAGAAGAGAGAGGAGAGTGCCTGGCCCATTCCACGTACGGAGTACACAAAGTTTTTCCTGACCTCGGACCCGGGATTGACAGCAGCTGGTCCCAGTTCGGAGTCAAAGACTGTGTCGTATAAGGCTCTTGGGTCCTTGGAGAACCAGCAATTCGTCTCCTTTGCCACTGCGCCCTTTGAGCAGGAAACCGAAATCACAGGTCACGTAGTGGCCCACCTCAACGTCTCTGTAACGCCCGACAATACCGGACACGACACCGATATTGACCTGTTCGTCACTCTGCGCCACATCGACCCGACAGGCCAGGAAGTTTTCTACACAGGAACAGCCGGAGACCCTGTGCCACTTGTGAAGGGCTGGCTTCGTGTGAGCAACCGCAAGGTGCATGTCGAGAACCCTAGACACAAGTCTTGGCTGCCTCACAGAGAGTATCTTTCAACAGACGTCCAGCCTGTCAAGGCCGGCGAGATTTACGCGGTAGATGTCGAGCTTTGGCCTACGAACGTAGTTGTCGACAAGGGCGGCAAAATCGTATTTGAAGTTGCGAGTGGCGACACACAAGGCAGTGGCATTTTCCAGCACTCCTCCGATGTCGATAGGTGAGCCCCTCTTCCCGCACATCCTTTTCAACACCATGACTAACTTCCAATCCCTAGGCCTGCCATCAAGTTTGCAGGGCTCAACAACATTCATTTCGGGCAGGGCCTGGAGAATTATGTGACGTTGCCCGTAATCCCGTCCAAATGAGAACTTGGAGACGAATTTGGAAGTACCTGATGCGTGGGAGGGCGCGTATGCCGCGAAGTTTGCCGAACTGCTCTTTAAACCAGATGCTAGGTTCGGGAAATTAAACCGAGCCAGTGAATCCGGGGCCGGCGGCGGCGGCGGGGGCGGGGGAGGAGGGGGCGGCTGATGTTGGACCACCCTATGAAGCTTGTTGCTGTGGGACGTAAAAGACAAGTAGCCGCTGTCGTAGAATGATGTGTAGCTGATACTCTTAATTTTGTCACCGTTACTCCTTTCATCATTGTATTTGAACGCCCAGCACGCGAAGATGAGCTTCTCTGAGCATTTCTCCCTGGCCAACATTCCGTACGGCATTGCCAGCACTGCCGAACATCCTAAGGGCGTAGCCACGAGAATTGGCGATTTGGTTGTATTTCTTGCGGATTTGGGCCTCGATGCTTCCAAGCAGGTCCAAGACGCGCTGTCCCAGGTATATGCCACAGCCTTTGAAAGATGAACGTGATATTGACCATGAACTAGCCAACTCTCAATGTCCTAGCCGCCATAGGGAAGGACGAACTCCGTATGCTCAGAAAGAATATTCAAACCACCTTGTCCGATCAGTCGGTGGTTTCAAAACACGGCGTCCCGATTGAACATGTTCATCTGCATCTGCATTTGCCGGTGCAGATTGGCGGTTTCACCGACTTCTCTTGCTCCAAGGAACACTTGTTGAATGCATCAGCGGCCGTTATGGGACAGGCGTCGATGCCGCCCGCAGCACCATATCTTCCGATCGGGTACAGCGGTCGGCCGTCCAGCATCGTGGTCTCGGGAACGAAAATCACTCGCCCATACGGTCAGTTTCGTGATGGAGACAAGATTGGGTTCGGACCATGCAGAGCTCTTGACTACGAGCTGGAGGTAGCTTGCATCATTGGAAAGGCGACGGAACTTGGCGACCGGGTTGCGATTTCTGATGCCGACGAGCATGTCTTCGGCCTTGTTCTGTTGAATGACTGGAGTGGTAAGTAGAGCATCGTTGCGAAGGAAGGAGAGAGCCGCGTCGCTGACAGCAAGCAGCTCGTGACATCCAAGGGTTCGAGATGAACCCTCTCGGCCCAATGAACGGCAAGTCTTTTGGAACTTCAATCAGCCCTTGGGGTAAGTCTTACGTCCGCACGCCGAATTGTCCCTGATTGCAGTACTGACAATGCAATTGGTTTCAGTGATAACCCTTGAAGCCCTCGAGCCTTTTGCGACACGGCCGCCCACAAAGGACGTACCAGCGCAGCCTTACCTGCTCGACCACAAAGAAAAGTCAAGCTACAACATTGCCCTCAAAGCCGAGGTGTTGGCGGACGGGCAGACCACGACGGTATGCACGGCGCAGCTCAGCTGGATGTATTGGACGTTTCGAGATCTTGTAGCGCAGCAGACGATCAACGGTTGCAACCTCAACACGGGTGACGTTTTGGCTACGGGTACGGTGTCGGGTGCTGGCGACGACGAGCACGGCTGTCTGCTTGAGATGACCAAGGGTGGCACGGTGAGTTGGAAGACATCTGACGGTCAAGAAAGAACATATCTGCAAGATGGCGACGGAGTGCGCATGAGCGGCTATGCTGGCGACGGCGTGGGGTTCGGTGAGTGCATCGGATTCATCTCTCCCGCTCGGCCATTTTGAACCGACAGGGAATTCGATTCGCGAGGCGGCAAAGAAGATTGACTGGAACTTGGAAGCCGCATGCGCAGGCGGGAGCGCCGGTCCTCGAGTCGAGGCCAGGTGCTCCGAGCCGATCACTGAGCCCCAGCTGGCCCTTCTGACGTCGGTCGAGCTGGTCTCGGTTTCCGAAAGTGGCAGGCCTAAGCACCTGCACCTCCGTTGGTGCGGATGTGTCGCAGTGAAAGTGCGGCAATGGGTTTGACGCAGTGGGAGAGGAGAGCATGGGGTTCTTAGTGTGCGTGACCGCCGGTTCTACAGGAAACAAGAACCAACATTTCAGCCCAGCAGCTCCCGCGGCCGTTGAATTCCGTAGAAGGTTGTCGTAATACTGCGTAATCCCAAATATTTTGGGGGTCTTGCAGACCATGCGTCCAGCTGTAGCTGTGCCTTATCCGAGGCGGCTAGAATTCCCGCGTGCCCAGACAAGCCTAGGTTCGATTCACCCGCTTCCCCATGGGCACCCTCGGCATGTTCGGGGCAGGACCGGGATCCACTGTCCGAAGTTTATGCGCACGAATCTGATGGCACTCGTGGACCATCGGAGGAACGGAGTGGAGCGCCATGCACTGATCCCCGTCAACCTGAAAACTGTCGACCTGTGTGTGAAAATCCTGGTAGAGACCGATGTTTGGTACCTACCAGGTCGGGCTTCCTCCGTGGAGTATGTACACAGAAAGCAAGCTATGCCAGTGACTGTTTGTTGCGCAGGAGTCTGCGGCTTTCTGTCCGTTGTGCATGTTCCTTCTGACAAGGTAGATGGCTTGCTTCCGGTCGTGACATATGTCGAGGCACTCAAAAAGTACGTGTAAACCGATTTCGAGGCTACTTGAGGTAAGTAAGGTCAAAATCAGGACCTGGAGGAGCACTGATTATTGGGGGGGAGAAGAAAAGAAAACGGCGGCGGGAAGGAGAAAAGAACGGCAGAGTGAAGCTGCCGTTCTGCACGCGCGCGCCGTCGAGGGCGGAAGCAAGACCGGCCTTGTCCGAGGCGGTCAGCCCGCCAATACAGGGCTGGTGGCAGTACTTTAGAAGCGCGAACGCTGTACTATGCAGAATGAAGCGGCATGTGTGCGCACATGTCGGCGGCGGCGTCTGTGGGTTTGTGCATGTGGCACTCCTGCCAGGCGTGCCAGGCCAGCTGGTCCACGAATGCCTAGGTCACCGCCGGCCGATGAATCCTTATCGTGCCCATTCTCTTGGGTATCGCGGCACGCTAGGCGGGTATCAACTATGATCCGAAGCCTGTTCCTGACTCCCGCGTGGAGGTAGGGGGAAAAAAAATTACGCCAGAGGCTGGCGATTCCGAAAAACGGGCACCCGCATCTGAGGAATTGACTCAGGCCCCGCCGTCATCCCGCTGGTTTTGTCCATTGTGTCTGTCTCTTGTCTCTTGCGCCTTCTACAGCGTGTTCTGTGTCTCTGCCCAGTGTCTCTGATTGTTCTTCAGATGTACCTGGCATACCGTTCGTGCTAGGCTCTGTACATGCCAATACTCTGAATCCGTCTAACGCGTCCTCTAAACCGAGACCGCCTGACCATTCTGTAGCTTCCATGTTTCCTTTCGGAGTCCCTGCTGCGTGCGACCAAAGACCAAAGTAACCGCCTGCAATAGGAAGCTTCTCAAGTTGTGTGACCAACTTCCCCGGACGAGCCTCCCCCAAATTTTTTTCCCACTGCATCTCCCCTATCCGCCCTCTACCTACCTTGCCTCCTAGATCTCAACTTGACTTCTTGCCCACTTTCCTTACCCTGACTGACCAACCTGTCCCTCTTTGTGTCCATTGAGTTCGTAATAGAAACGACCGATCCTGGAGCGCAACCTCTCCCCAGAGGCCCACGTCGGCTCCAGTGACTGGTAGAGACCAAATCTTATCGCGCCGCACCACCCTACTTACCTCGCGCGATAACATCTGCTCAACCCACAACCCACACCCACCTTACCTCCTCTTCTCTTACCCAGGTTAAGGCAGGGTCCTCAGTTCTCAGACGATTTTCCTCGTGCCTACTGCATCACCTTCTTCTTGCGAATCCAATCTGTCCAAGATGAGCAAAGCAGCGGCCGTCAAGGAGGCCGTCAAGGAGAGTCTCCTTGGCGCTGAAGAGCCCGTCCAGTTGTCCGCCCAGACCAAAGCCAGATTCGTCGCCAATGCTGTCAAGGACGAGGCATCAGGGGAGCTCTTAATGGGCCCTGAGCAGTTTATTAACGCTGTTGCGCCTACTGACGAGGACTATGTGAGCTCTCCCCTTCTCCTGATCTTCTCCACCTTGAATGCTGTCCCTTCGCGGAATTCCATGTCATGAAGTTGGACGAGAAGCTGTCTCCGATATTCCTCCGATACACCACGCGATCGTTTGCTAACTCCATCGCCCACCGCATAGCACAAAATCAAGCGTGAACAGTACGGCATTCTCTTTGGCGTCGCCGACCGCAAGGGTGCAGGCAAAATAACTCTTTCCGAATGGGCCGCCTTCGAGAACCTGTTGATGAAGCCCGACGCCGAGTACGAGATCGCTTTTCGCCTTTTTGACGTCGATAGAACCGGCAACGTCAAGTACGAAGACTTTCGAAAGCTCTACGAGCTGAACAAGGGACCCGACAGTATTCCCTTTGACTGGGAGTGCGAGTGGGCCAAACTGTACATTGGCAGCAAGAAGAAGCGTCACCACATGGACTACCCCCAATTCTCCCAGATGCTGCGCGGTCTCCAGGGCGAGAGAATTCGCCAGGCCTTCCAGCAATTCGACCAGGACGGCGATGGCTTCATCGACCCCGAAGATTTTGAGCGCATCATCCGCGAAACCTCTAAGCACAAGCTGTCTGACCACTTGCTCGAGAACCTATCGACCCTGTGCAACATTTCCCTCGGCAGCAAGGTGTCGTATGCCAATGTGCGCGCTTTCCAGAACATGATTAAGGAGATTGATCTCGTCGAGCTCATTGTGCGCCGTGCTTGTGCTAAGAGCCCGGATGGCAAGATTACCAGGACAGAGTTCCTAAACCAAGCCGCCAAGATCACTCGGTTCTCCCTCTTCACTCCCATGGAGGCCGACATTCTTTTCCACTTCGCCAGCCTCGAAGAGCCCTCGGGTCGTCTCGGACTTGCCGATTTCGCCAAGGTACTTGATCCCTCATGGAGAAACGCCCTTTCCGAGGTCGACGATGCGGCTCAGAAAGCAATTGCCAAGGGCGCCTCAGCAAGCAAGGCGCTTCTTGGTCGGGTCCTCGAATCCGGCTACAACTTCGGCCTTGGCAGTTTAGCCGGCGCCTTCGGTGCCTTCATGGTGTATCCCATCGATCTCGTGAAGACGCGCCTGCAAAACCAGCGAGGTGCCAGACCAGGCGAGAGGCTGTACAAGAACTCAATCGATTGCTTCCAGAAGGTATGGAGAAACGAGGGTTTGCGCGGTCTGTACTCCGGTGTTCTGCCTCAGCTTGTTGGTGTAGCACCCGAGAAGGCCATCAAGCTGACGGTGAACGACCTTGTTCGTGGCCACTTTACCAACAAGGAGGGCAAGATTTGGTACGGCCATGAGATTCTTGCCGGTGGCGCTGCTGGAGGTTGCCAAGTTGTAAGTCTCCCCCATAAACGCACACATCTGGGTTCGCATCGGTCCTGACATGATTCCTTTTAGGTCTTTACCAACCCTCTGGAGATCGTCAAGATTCGACTTCAGGTTCAGGGCGAGGTCGCCAAGACTGTTGAAGGAGCCCCGAAGAGATCCGCGATGTGGATTGTCCGCAACTTGGGTCTAGTTGGTCTTTACAAGGGCGCTTCTGCATGTCTTCTGCGTGACGTTCCCTTCTCCGCCATCTACTTCCCAACCTACAGTCACCTGAAGAAGGACATGTTTGGAGAGTCGCCTACCAAGAAGCTGGGCGTCGTTCAGCTACTTACTGCCGGCGCCATTGCCGGCATGCCGGCCGCCTACCTCACCACGCCTTGCGACGTCATCAAGACCCGTCTCCAGGTCGAAGCTCGCAAGGGTGAGGCCACATACACCGGTCTCCGTCACGCTGCCAAGACCATCTGGAAGGAAGAAGGCTTCCGTGCTTTCTTCAAGGGTGGTCCCGCCAGAATCTTCCGCTCATCTCCCCAGTTTGGTTTCACCTTGGCCGCGTACGAGGTTCTGCAGAGCGTCATCCCTTACCCCGGCTCGTCAGACTCTATGAAGGTTCACACTGGTGTTGGGGAAGCTGTGTCCACGTTGAGGGAGAAGATGGACACCAGCCCCTTTGCGCGCAGCCGCAACGCCCTGAAGATTATCCTCGATATCGACGAGGACTTTGGTAAGGTTAAGGTGCCCAGCCAGGAGTCTTGGAAGAAGCTTCCTGCGTTCATGCAGACCAACGAAAACGGCTCTTCATGAGCGGCCTCGACCGAAATTCTGGACCTAAAATTCAAATGATCAGACAGTGCACGGCCTAAGAAAGAGTAGGCAGGCGTGTCTGGCTGAAAGGAAGGATTAGTCACATATCGCATATACGGCCGGGGAAAAAAGTTCTAGAGCATAAAGCAAGACCAGAACAGAGACGACTCTAGAGCGGAGAAAAGTTGGGAGGCACCTTGCGAGACTGCATATTCCCCCGACGGCGTTCAGGGGCAGGCATACAAAGGGACATCGGCATTTGTTTTTCTTTCTTCCTTTCCTTCCTGTCCTGTGCAGTCCTTCTGGACGTTGTTTGCAAGTGGTTGGTATACTCGCGTTTCTTGTTGAGCTTCGCTGCGCCTGGCATACCGCGGTTGGAGACAAGGCTACAATAGAGGTAGACTTCTAGACTTCTTCCAGAGGAGCGTGTTTAGACTGTTTCGTATTTTGTCTAGATATGTATGAAATATTTACTACTGCTCACAGATGTGTTCCGGTAGCACAATATGCATGCTCCAAGCTTCGCAGGCTGTCCGGCACATTCAGCAAGAACGCAGGGGTTTGTACTCAGAAATAGGTATCGTTCTATTCTCTTAAGTAATCAAGATATGCCGGATAGCATTCAGTATAAAGTCGTACCAAAAGCAAGTGTCTAGTCTAGTCGTTGGTGTTCTTCATCGTCTGCACGAAGAAGGGAATCCCTCTCCTCGGCCTTACCATCTGAGCCGCGGTACAGTATATAGTGTTGAGTCATGAAAACTAGGTCGTAAACCATGGACACGTTGCCCAGGGCGAACTTGACAGGGTTACCAGTGATGCCGGACCAGTCGCCCT